CTAGAGGCAGAGGCTGATGCGGACTCAGGCCTGAGGGATGGCGTGTCGAGCTGAGTAGGCCGAGAATGGCTTCGGAGTGTCATGCTGACTGAGTGGTGGATGGACGCTTTATCCGCTCACCTCAGGACCGAACGACTTTAGCTCGAGCGTGTCGAAGGCGTGCTCGTGCCAGACCAAGGATGTATCCTCGTGTGAGTCAGAATCCCGCCGTCGACGGCGGATTGTGTACCCTTTGGGCCGGCTGAGTCCGTCGTGATGACGATGAAGGCCGGCCGGGCGGGCAAGTCGATGCCGGTCGACCAGCTGGTCGAACTGTCCATCGAGTCGATCAGCCACAAGGGCGAGACTCGAGGCCGGTACCTGCGCATCTTTTGCGAGAAGGTGCGCGAGGGCGCCCACTTCAGCACCATCTTTGCGCCAGACGCCATGACCGTGGCCGAATGCGTGTTGGCCGTGGCCGGCTCCCACTTTTCACGCGTCGACGTGACCCGTCTGCCAGAGGACGAAGAGTTGGCGCTGTACGAGGTGATCGGACACAACATCGGCTCGACGACGACGCCACAAAACGTCCGCAGACGCAGCCTCCTGCCCAGCGGACACACTCGGTTGGCCCTGACAACGACGAAGCGAGAAGCGGCTGCCGCCGCTGCCGCTGCAGCTGCCGCGGCTCGCGACGACTCGGCCTTCCACGAGCTGTACGCTCGAGAACTGCCCGCCGACCAGCGCATCGTCGACGTCTTCGCCATGACGACACCCAGCAAAGGTGTCTCCCGGCGCCTCGAGCTGCGCCGCCGCAAGGCGGTCGGCTGTAGCCGGCCGACGACACCGTCGCCGTCGCCGTCACCGTCGCCGTCGGGGTTCGCTGGCGGTTTAATTTACAGCTCGCGTTTTCGCCGACTCTCACAGACCACACAGTTATCCACGGCGTCGCTCGGCCACATCGATCGGTTCGTCCGGACCGACGGCGTTGTGTTGAAAGACTCGCGGTCGAGTCGGCGCGGCCGAGTCTGTCCGCCGTCGCCGTCGCCGTCGCTGTTGTCGCAGGCCGTGCCGCAGGCGCCGGCGGGGCCACACCTGCTGCTGCTGCGCGGCTGTCGGCCGGGCAGCGACGGTCTGGTGCACGATCTGTCCGCGCTGATTCGGCCCGACGGACTCGACTCTCGGCTCCACCAGAGCATGGGCTTCGCGGACCACGCCAGCCTTCGGCTCCACACGGAGCCGGGCCTGCCCGCGGCCCGACAGGCCGAGCTGGCGTGCACCCACGGACTGTGCGCCCTTTTCACGGGCGGCCGCGAGGTGCAGGTGTCCGGCGACGGCGAGCCGTCGAAGGGCACCGTCTGGCTGGCCCAGACTCGCGACTCGACCTCGGCCGCGCTGCCGCCGTCGCGGCTGGCCACCCTCGTCCTCGTCAACGGCAGACGTCTGGCGGAGACGCCAGTGACGGCCGACGAGGCGATGCAGCAACGCACGGTGGCCCTGCGTCCCGGCGACCTAATCGAGGTGAAAGTGCTCTCGCAGCCGGCGGAGGAGGGCTCGAACGGCGCCGCAGATGCCGCGGACGCGACTCGGCCCATCGTCTGGTATGCCTTCCTCTTCAAGGACCCCAGTTGGATCTCGGAGCACCGAATGCGACTCAACTTTCTGCCGCATCACATTGACCCCGTCTGGCCTCGCCTCTCGAACAGCCTCGGCACGGGTCGGTCGGCCGGACGCACGGCGAGAATAGCGGCGGCGGCCGCTGCTGCTGCTGCTGCTGCCTCTGAGATGGGCAGCCGAGAGGCCGTCGTCGTCTCCAGCACCAATCGCGGCCCCACCCTCGTCGGCGAGGCTGGACACGCCGAGGACGCAGCGCCCGGAGACGGTGCTTCAGACCGTTCCAGCGTCGCCAGCGGCCTGAATCGACCGCCCATTCCGACAAGAAGGGCCATCCCCGCCGACAAAATCTCGCCCAGGTACAGCAGGTCGCCCTCTAGCTCTGACGTCTCTTCGCTTCGTTCGGTCGGCTCGTCTTCCGCCTCACTGCCCAGCCTCCTGCCAGACGAGGACCAGCTGGAGGCGCTGGTTTCCGGGCTTCTGCCCGCCATCTCGTCGCTCAGTCTGGGGGCGGTGGCCAGCACTCCACGCCACCACATGCTAACCGACCCAGCAACCACGGAAACCGAGGCGGCTGGAGATCGACTGCGGACTCACGGCATTTGGAGCCCAACAACCTGCACTGATCCGGGCCGAGGGGCGGGTCTGCTTGCCCACCTCATTCGACACATCGCAGCATGCCTCATCGACTCACGCCAGTCACAGCTCACTTACGTACCGGTCGACAGGTTGAAACCACCACACACCGTCTCTGTGGGCACCAGCAGTGGCCAAAACTCGGCCAAGCTTTACACTGACCTATTGGAAAGTATTCAATTTCACCTATCCGAACGCATCATCAGCATACAGTCGGTGAGTTGGGCAGGGCCAAAGTGCTTTTTAAGGAGCGTTTTTACCACCACATGTCCAGAACCAACAGCCTTCTCGTTCGTTGCGGCTGAATTAAGTTGCCCTTGCATTGTGTCAAATTGGGAAATTGTCCATCAGCCCACATAAAAATGTGTATAGTAATCGTTTTTCTCGCAGCTATCTGACAATCGAGGCCTTCGAAGACTGACGATCTCGATTGAGAACAAAAGTGAGGCAGAGTAGTTTTAAGGTGGTGTGTGTACTGAAAGTGAAATCTCCCATATTCACGATGAGTGTCAAGTGATGCTATCATTGAATTTTAAACCAAAATTCCACTCGCTTCAGGTCACTCAAGGTCGGGTAGTTGAATTTTCTCACAATGATATATGTTGGCCTTACGTCACCATTAGATTTGATATAGAAACGAAGAAAAAGTTGGTATCGATGAGTCTCCTGAGATAACATTGTTAGAGGGATCTTCATTTAAAATGAAAGTGCAGGAAAAAGAGTTTCGTTGGGCAATCTCACCAGATGAGGACGGATGAATCTCGTTGTGCTGCAGCTGTTTGGATTTTATACGAAATTTATGTTGACACAGTCCAAGAGACTGCCTCCCTCGTTTCGGGTGAAAACATGCTGAACTTTCGTCCATCATATGATGGACAATCATCAGAGCTGGGTGTCATTCTTGTAAAGGCCTCACGTTAACACTGAAGCAAGAACACTATCTGGCTCTATCTTACTTCTTATATAGACCCAATCGTGCCAAAAAATAAAAAATAAAAAATCTAGATAGATCGATATAGAGTGGTTTGATTAATTTTCTTTAACAATAATCCTGTTATTTTGCTCGAATGTATGAGTATGTATATTTATGCGTGTTAGCGTATATATGCAATAGCGTTCCTAAATCATACTTGTCAAAGGTTAAATCTCAGGTTCTGATCCTCAAGACGCAATAACCCAAGAGAAAATCTTTGTCCGAGACTGACTAGGTCCGTGAATAAGTATAGTTGAGATAATGAAATATGAGCTTGTAAGCATGATAATCAAGTTATGAAACCACTTGTCCTAACCTTTCAGTCGAGGGTCATTAACGTAATCTGAAATGTCTGGTTTGGTTGATGAGCTTACTCTAACATTATGGGCGAATGTGAGTAAAATTGGAACCATCACTAAGCAGACAAATTGAGTCGCCTTCTTTTTAAAGGCGGCTCAACGCCCTCTATCTCTTTCAATCTATCGATAAAGTATAATTAATTCCTACTCAACTTTCAAACTATGTTCCTCACATTCAACGTCTTTCCTAATCTATTAATTTCAATTTAAACACAGATGTAACATTATCAGCAAACCTACTAGTTTAACACCATTTTATTTCATGTTCAGTATCTACCATGCGTTGGCCACGTCTGACTGATGGATACAGCTACCTTTGCAAGCATTTTTGTGTTCTACCAATCTTCGTCGAATAGGTCTGCATGTCTCACCAACATAGCATCAATCACATAGGCAAACAATTTTGTAGCAGCCGGATCTAGACAATGGATCATATTTCTGTCTAAAAGATAGCATAATCGAAGAAAGTGTCACGGTTTCTTTGACCACTGGTTTTATGCCTCACTTCTTCACTAATTCGCCTATCTTTTTTGGGAGAAGACATGACGACAAAATAAGGACATGGGAAAAGGTCTCAGTCTGTCTCTCTTTGACTAAATGGTCTCCGACTGAAAATGTATTCCTCAGTAAAGTGATATTATTCTCAATTAGGCCCAAATGATAATTATTTCCAGGAATATATTGTCAGCCGTTCCAACTCTTTAGTCAAATGTTTACTATCCGCTAGCCTCATACTTCTTAGAATCATTGACTTCAAAATTCCAACCTTAGTCTTGTAACTATGGTTGGAAAGAAAAGTAAGCAGAGCCAACATATGTTGGCTTCCTATAAACATCTCTTTCTAACTTACCCTCTTCTCTAATGATGAGAACATCCA